TGATGATGATGAGACAAGATGATGATGATGATGATGATGATGGTGATGCTGATGATGATGGTGATGCTGATGATGATGAGAACGATGATGACGATGATGATGATATGATGGTGATGGTGTCCCGATGATGATGAAGATGATGATGATGTCGATGATGATGATGATGGTGACGATGATGATGATGATGCTGATGGTGTCCCGATGATGAGGATGATGATGATCATGATGATTATGTTGATGACCATGATGATAACGATGATGGTGTCCCGATGATGATGAGTATGATGATGATGTTGATGATGCTGACTATGATTGTGTCCCGATGATGATGATGATGTTCATGATGATGAGGTTGATGATGATTATGGCGTCCCGATGGTGATGATTATTCTGATGGTGATGATGATGATGTTGATGATGATGGCGTCCCGATGGTGATGATGATGATGTTGATGCTGATGTTGGTAATGATGATGATGATGGTGCCCCGATGATGACGATGATGATGATGCTGATGATGATGTTGATGATGCTGATGATGATGATGTCGATGATGAGGATGAGATGATGATGATGGTGTCCCGATGATGATGATGATAACGATGGTGATCATGATGGTGTCCCGATGATGATGCTGCTGATGATGATGACGATGACTGTCCCGATGCTGCTGATGATGATGATGATGTTGATGATGATGATTGTGATGATGGTGATGATCATGATGGTGGTGTCCCGATGATGTTGATGACCGTGATGATGATGATGTTGGTGTTGATGGTGAGGACGGTGTCCCGATTATGATGATGTTGGTGATGATGATGTTGATGTTGATGTTGTTACTCATGATGATGACTTTGATTGTGCTAGCGGTTGTTATATCGATAGTGAGATCGATAGTGAAACCGAATGTGAGATCGATTGTGAGATAGATTGTGAGATCGATTGTGAGGTCGATAGCCAGATCAATTGTGACATAGATCCAGTGATATCGATTGTGAGATCGATCGAGGGAACTCGGTCGAGCGAGACCGATACTGAGATCGATAGTGGGATCGATAGTGAGACCGATCGAGTGAGACGTTGGTTCCTCCCCCCCCCCCCGAACCTCCTTATCACCCGAAGGGTGGTCGTATAGGTAGTAGTAGTAACAGTAGTCGTAGGAGTAGGAATGGTAATACCAATCGTAGTAGTAGTAGTAGTAGTAGTAGTAGTAGTAGTAGTAGTAGTAGTAATCGTAGTAGTAGTAGTAGTAGTAGTAGTAGTAGTAGCCATGGACAAAAAGCACATAGTATGAGAACAAAGAAAACATAATGGTAACGGTTCTAGAACTAGCAATAGTAACAGTAGAAGTACAAAGAGTAGTAGAAGAAAAGTCATACGAGTAATGATAGTGGTCGAGGTACTAGAAGTACGTAATCGTAGCAACAGTAGTAACAGTAGTAGTAGTCGTAGTCGTAGTAGTAGTGGTAGTAGTAGTAGTAGTAGCAGTAATACTAAACCTACTACTACTACTACAACAACTACTACTACTACGAGTGACCCGGATAGTAGTAGTGCTAGTAGTAGTAGTAGTAGTAGTAGTAGTAGTAGTAGTAGTAGTAGTAATAGTAATAATGGTAATGTAGGTGCTGGTACTGGTAGTCGTGAGGGTACACGTAAAACGGGTAGCAGTAGTAGTAGTAGTAGTAGTAGTAGTAGTAGTAGTAGCAGCAGTACTAGTAGTGCTAGTAGTAGCAGTAATCGTAGCCGTAATCGTAGTAGTCGTAGCAGTAATAGTACGTGTGGTGGTGGCAGTCGTAATAACAATGCCACTGGTCAGAGTAGCAGTAACGGCAACAGTAGTAGCAGAAAAATGGTAGTACTAGAGCCCGTAACAATGGTAGTCGTAGTCGTCGTAACAATAGTAGGAGTAGTTGGTAGATTCGCGGTGGTGGTACTGGTCGTAGTAGTAGTGGTAGTGGTAGTGGTAGTAGTAAAGGTAGTAGTAGTAGTAGTAGTAGTAGTAGTAAAAGTAGTAGTAGTAGTAGTCGTAGTAGTAATAGTCGTAGTAGTAGTAGTAGTAGTAGTAGTAGTAAAAGTAGAAGTAGTAGTAAGAGTACTGGTAGCAGTAGTAGTCGTAGTAGTACTAGTTGAAAGAATCGTATGAATAAGAATCGTAATCGTAGTAATACACTCGGAGCGGTAAACGTAGTAGTCGTGGTGGTGGTATTAGCGGTAGTAGCAGCCGTAGTAATAGAAAGTAGTAGTAGTAGTGGTAGTAGTAGTAGTCGTAGTAGTAGTAGTAGTAGTAGTAGTAGTAGTAGTCGTAGCAGTGGTGGTGGTAGTAGTAGTAGTAGTAGTAGTAGTAGTAGTAGTAGTAGTAGTAGACGCAGCAGCAACACCAATACGACTACTTCTGCTACTACTACTACTACTACTACTACTATTACTGCGACTACGATTACTACTACTACTCGATCCAGTAAACATACGAATGTTCGTGGTAGTCGCAGCCCGA